CCAGGAGAATCCCTCGGCAGGGTAACAAGACTTTAGGCTTGAAACCTTCTGGTGCCACTATCATAGTTTTGAAAATTTAGTTAAAAACAACTGGCATAGAAAACCCTTAATGGAAGCTACTAATACCTTTCGGCTTCTTGCTTCTGAATGGGCTAAAGTTACTTTTGGAGATACCCATAAAAAGAAACGGCAAATTCTAGCCAAAATTAATGGAATTCAAGCATTCCCGCGCTACCCCACTAGCACATTCCTACAACTCTTAGAAAAGACCTCATTAACGAATACAATAACCTTCTCCGAATTGAGGAAGATTACTGTAAAATACGTTCTCGCGTTAATTGGATTAATGACGGTGACACCAATAATAAATTCTTTCATATTAGCATTGTCAACCGATGACGCACTAACAATATTGCGTTTTTTAAAAACAGTGAGGGTTCGTGGATAATGATCCGTAACAAATTCTAAACCATACCTTCACCCATTTCCAAAACGCTTTCACCTCCGAACACATAATCACTCCTCGGAAAAATATTTTCGACTCCCCTACTAGTTTTGATAACATTGACCTTACTTCATTAGATTGCCCTCTACAAAACTATGAAATTGTGTGTGCCATTTTTTCATTTGAACCACTTAAAGCACCTAGCCCAGATGGCATCCACCCCTTTTTCTATCAAAAATATTGGCACCTTGTTAAAGACTCGGTCATATCCTACTGTCATGAAGTTTTCAACACCCTTACTATTCCTGAAAACCTAAGCTCAACCCTCATTTGCCTAATTCCTAAATTTTCAAATGCTAATAACCTCAATAACTTTGGACCTATAGGTCTATATAATACCATTTACAAGGTAATCACTAAAATCATTACCAATCGGGTGAAACCTTTTCTGGATAAGCTTATCAGCCCCTACCAATCTAGCTTCCTAAAAGGAAGACGCATCAGTGACAATGCCATCATTATTCAAGAAATCATGAACCATTTCCAAAAATTGAAGGGCCAACGGGGTAAGCTGCTTTTAAAAATTGACCTTGAGAAAGCTTTCGATAGACTAGAATGGTCCTTAATCTATCGAGCCCTTCTTTTCTTCAAGTTCCCTCCACGTATAACCAATCTCATCATGAGCCATGTCAGCACTTCCAGAATTGCAATACTAGTAAATGGCTCTAGTACAGAGTTTTTTAACCCAACAAGAGGTATTAGACAAGGAGATCCAATATCGCCTTACCTATTCATACTATGTATGGAACTTCTTTCCAAATACATTTGCCACCAGGTCAACATTGGCCAATGGGACCCCATTCAACTGAGTCAATCAGGGCCACCTCCCTCTCACCTCTTTTATGCAAACAATCTCACACTAGCAGCAAATGCAAATGTTAAAACATTCCAGACCATAAACCATTGTTCGCATTCGTTAGCCAACTTTCGGGTCAAAAAATCAACTTTAGTAAATCCAAAATAATCTTCTAAAAAAGCTGCGATTCTTTTACCTGAAACCGTCTTGCCAATATTCTCAATATTAATAGTAGTCATAGCTTTGGAAAATACCTAGGATTCTCAATCTTCCCGCATAAACCAAAAGCTACTAACCTCCAGTACATTATTGACAACATGAATTCCAGATTAGCCGGATGGAAAACAAACTTTCTATCCATTGCTGGTAGAACTACATTAGCCAAATACACTCTCAATTCCATTCTAAACCACTCCATGCAATATATCCTTCTCCCCTCTTTCATCCTTAAAAAAATTGACAAGATCCAGCATGACTTCATATGGGGTACTACAACAACCAGAAAGAAAATTCACTATGTTAATTGGGATATTGTTACTCAGTCTAAGCGAGACGGGGGTCTAGGTATAAAAAAGAAAAAGACAAAAACCTAGCTCTACTCTCCAGTATGTCTTGGCGCATCTTCACCAATCCTACTTCTATATGTGTCACTACTATAATAAGTAAATATAGTCATAAAAGGAACCCCACATTCCATTCCTTCATCTGGTCTAACATCCTAACGGGATGGAAGTACTGCTCAAAGGGCCTTTCCTGGATAATTGGACCAGAAAATATTAATTGTTGGTCATCAGCTTGGATTCTCAATCTCCCACCACTCAGCTCTCTTGTCCAAGGACCTCTAACCCAACAAGACTCCATCCTAAAAATCAAAGATTTGTGGGAAAATAATCAATGGGATTTATCTAAACTGTCCTTTCATCTCCCTCTTCACATCACCCAAAAAACCCTTTCTAGTAAGATATCAAAATTATATGATGCAAAAGATATCCCTATTTGGGCTCTCACGTCAAATGACTCATTTACCACCAAAACAACCTATAAACTCATCTCCTCACAAAGCAACATTAACTACAAATTTCAGTGGATCCGGAAGTTAAATACTCTTAACAAAATAAAATTCTTCTTATGGCAATGCTCCCATAATCGGCTTCCCACAAATGCTTTTCTACATCACATAGGCTTAAATATCGACCCTATATGCTCAATTTGTAAAGGAGCTAACGAGTCTCTAACTCACATTCTCTTCGAATGCCCGATAGTCAATGGCTTTGGGGAGGAAGTAAGCCCACAAAACCAAACTCCGAATTTCAACTCAGATCATTGGCTTATGAAGCTCAAAGAGTGGACCATTAATGTGGACCACCTAAACGTCACTTGGAGTGAATTCTTCCCTTTTGCCATCTGACACCTATGGCTTAATAGAAATAATAACCATTTCAATAACCTCTGCAAGCTTCTTGCCCTAAACCTTGTGACGATCTGTTGTATGGAATACAAATACACCGCTTTATCTCCTACCAATAACATAAACACTTCACCAATTACAGTTAAATGGGGCTCCATTGTCAACTAACCTAAAACTCAACATTGGCGGGTCTTTCACAGTAGGGGTGCTTATCGGGCGGATGGGGCAGATAATTACACTTAACGGTTCGGTTTAATAGTTATTGGATTATAAATGTAGTATTCTGCTAGCCATCCAATAAGACAACGAGCGGATTGGTATTGGATTAATAATTATCGGGCGGTTATCGGGCGGCTTATCGGCTAAACCAAATAAAAAAATTTGAACAATCATTCAATCAATACTAAGACTACACATACTGCCATACACATATTAACCAACACATATTTCTTTCGTCCTTATATTCTCACATGACATTCACTTTATAGTTTACACACCCCAAATACATGCAAGATTTACCTTTTTCATATAACAAAATTAGCTTCTTGATCAAAGGGATTATTAAATAAAGAGACGACAAACATAAGATACTTTAAACTACGGTGGAGATAGTAACTTTATGAGAGCAACTAATTAAATTTGAAGAAGTTATTTGATGCTGCTCATGCATGTTCTCTTTTGAGGTGTCAAATTTCATAACATACAATACGGAATGGTCATTTTCACTTTGGTTATGGAGTAAGTAATTGCTGGTGTAATTTATTTTTTAGCACATCTGCTTTCTATTAATTGCTTTTGTACTTGTCTCAGATCCTTTGTGAAAGCGTTGTATCAATTTTGTCCATTCCTTGTTTAGTTTCTTTATGTTTTGGATGTTTCAGGGATGCACATCTTTTATTTCTTTTCTCTATTTTTCTCAATATTTTTAAATTAATTAATCTTTTAATAGAATGCATAACACATGCACATTATGGGCACTCTCAATTACACATACATCCCATTTCATCAATACCAAGACTACGCACTATCATATATATATATATTAACTGAATTTGTAAAACCAGAAAAACACATTAGTTCAGTAATCAATTGAGAATTAAGAAATATAAATTAGGGATTTAGCCATTTAGGGTTTTAATAGTACTTTATATACATAGGGGTAAAAGTGTAAATATAAAAATTCTTAACGGATTAACGGTTTACCCGATAAGAAAATCGAGTAATCCGCCCCCAAACCATTAAGCCGTTAGTTATAAAATCTCAATCTGTTCCCCATCCATTACCCCGATAATCCGATACCATTAAACCAATAAGCCATCGATTAGATTCGGTTAACAGTTTCGGTTCGGTTTTGAACGGTCCTATTTCACAAGCTGCTATAACAAAGGAGGAATCGCTGGAATATTTAGGGATAAATCCAGTAATTGGATCTTGGGCTATAAATGGCCCGCTTATGGCTACACCCCTATATACATGGAACTCATTGCGCTAAAAAATGGTCTTCTTCTAGAAAAAAATAACAATTTTAATAACTTAGAAATTGAAACTGATGCTACTGAAATACCACAATTACTTTCCTATAATAACTGTTCTCACTACTCTAACCTTGTTAATGAGTGCAGATTGCTACTGAAGTAGCTGGAGAACCCAATGATCAGACACAATTTATGTGAAGGGAATAGACTCGCGCACTTTTTGGCAAAAGAAGGGTCAAAACAACCAAGCAATACCCCCTATCAATAATGCTCCACCTACCAAATGTTTGTTGGAAGCTGCTCTAGGAAGATAAAGCTGGGACAACTATTACTAAGCTAGTATCTTCCAATATTCTAAACAATCTAGCCGAGCTTGTGAACACTAAGGCCCCGTTTGGCCATACATTTTGGCAACGTTCTTTCAAATCTTTTTTGAAAACATTGTTTGTTCATAGATTAATGATCTATTTTTAAAAAATTTCTGAAATTATTTTTCAAGTTCCCAAAATCTAGTTTAGGGTAGATTTTGGGTGAAACTTGTTCTCCCACTCACAAAATTTTAAATTTTTTCAAATAAAATGCATGTCCAAATATAGTTTCAACTTCCAAAATTATTTTTCAAAACTACTTCAAAAATTAATTTTTCAAGTTTCAACTAAATCTATGTCCAAACGCCTGCTAATAGTTTTTGTAATATGATTAAGCAAGACTCGTGACTCAAGTGTTTTGCCACAACGGAGGCACCATGTATATATAATGCAACTACTTAATTATAATATTTATTTCGTCGTTTCAGGAAAAAAAAAATATTTTCTATCTGGAAATAAAATTAGAATAATTCATCCATAAACACATCCATTTGCCTTCTCTTATACGATTTCCCTTCCCTTTCCCGCCCTAATACTGAACGACGCTTTCGAAAAAGAAGCATCTTTAACTTCTCAAAATGTCTCAGCCGATCGCCGTGGACATTCTGTCCGACGACGACGACGATGACGCTGTCAACAGCGCCGATTATTTCTCCGTCAACCAAAACGACACCGTTGATCTATCGACGCCACTGGCAATTCCGTCCAAGAAGAAGCAAAAAATTGAGGAGTCGAATACTAAATTGAAGCCCCCAGTCCTCATCATCGACGATGACGATGATCCGACACGATTTGAACCCTCAAAGTCCACTCCTTCATTTGTCGCTGATACCCCATTATCTGATTTTTCCAAACCCGATGTCTCATTTGTTAAATGCTCATTTGGTTCCTCTTCAATTTTGAACCCTAAGTCTTTCGGTGAGTTCGATATTTCCTTTTCTTTTACTTTTTGACGGTTTTTCATTTGAATTTGAGTTGCTTGAATTATGAATTATTGGATATTTAAGCTGTTATTGAAGCAATTATCCTGAAATACCACAATGTTGGACACTTTGGTTTGAAAATAAGCTTTTATTTGTTTTTGGTCTCTAAGTGATTATTTAGAAAACAATGTGAATATCTGCAATTTTGGATTTGGTAATATTCCATGTGATATTTAGTTTAATTTGTGTTCTTTTTGTGATGTGTTCAATTTCAAAAAATATAAAGAAGTAAACACACCAAGAAAGCAAGGGGATTCAACGTGTAGTGTGTGTGTGTATATATATATAAGAGAATTACCTATCTACACAGTCTAAATTTCACAGGAAAGGGTCTAAATTGACTCACCTTGGACAAGGGTAGCACCACCCCTGAATACGTTATGCACTTTTGCATATTGAGTGATCACTATGAAACCATTTTGAATTGGTTATAATTATGAACCGTATTTCACTTGAAGTTTAGTTGACCGTGAATCCCTTATTAGACAAATTATTGGTTTTTGGGTCTTTTGTGGTTATTAATTAATGTGAAATTCTAGGATACCGGACACTTGTCACTGAATTTAATTAATTCTTGTATATGGCTCTTTGGAGACTTAGGTTGTTATCTTGAAAAGTATTCTGAATTTCTGCTAATGCTGTACTCTGTTAACCTCTCTCTACATGCACTGTAGGGGTAAGGTCTGCGTACTATCTACCTCTCCAGACCCCACTTGTGGGATTACACTGTTTTTTTTTTTGTTGTTGTTGTTGCTGTACTCTGTTAACCTACATGCCAACTTCTACATTCCTTTGTTTATTTTGGGTGGTTCGGAATGATTGCTGAAGGCTTGGTTGTAGATTTTCTCTATCACTGAGATTTCTGTTGCAATTTGTGTCTTTGAGTCTTATTTATCCGAAGCTTGGGAATTTATGCATTCAATAGTAGACTTCCTTTATTAAAAAAAAAAAAAAAAGGAAGAAGGGAAACAAGTGTTGATGAAAATAGTTTCTCCTGCAGGTCTTGATTTGACCCCATCCATGGTTGCTGAAACACCGGCGTCGGAGCTTTTAAAATATAGTGTCCCAATAGTCAGATGTACTAAAGCTATTACTGTTTCACAGAATCGCTCTTCGTCAAATTTAGACCACCAAAACGATGGCGGTAAGTTTTCAATTGGCCTAATTCAAAGTTATTATTGAATGCCGAGTATTGTCACATCTGATTTACCACTATGAAGGGACTTCTTTTCTTGGGTTTTAGATTAGTGTCCAAGAGGCAAACATCTGACACCAAATCTTTTCTTCTATGAAGAAGATAATTAATTCCCATAGCAAAAGTCAGAGATGGTCTAAATCCCAGCAATTTAAATTGAGAAATAGCAAAAATTACAAGCGACAGAAGAGCTACAGCAAAGGAGCTGTATTATGCAGAGAAATATGGAAAAGGTCAGGGAAAAAAATTGGGAGAGTTCATATATAGTTCTTTTCTAGAGATTTGTGTGCAGGTCAACTGTGCAAAAACTCTAAAATGCATAGGAAATGAATTATACTCCATGATAATTTGGAGAAGGTGTAATACGTAACAGTTAATTTATGTTAGTATCCCAGTTAAATCATTTGGTCCTTCTGTCATTAGTTAACGTTATAACATCAGTCATCCTCAGTTTCCTGATTTATATTCTTTATTTGATGATAACTGTTACTCCATTATTTTATAGTGATGGTTTTGTCATCATCGTTCGATCCAGAAGCTTGACCATTAGGCGTTAGTTGATGTATCATGGGCATTATAGTTGCTTTTCCTTCTAGGCAGTAGGAGCCTACAAGGGCAAGTTGGGGCTTAAGCTTTCATATTATTATATAAATGAGCATTTCCTGGCCCTTCTGGAACATTGCTTCTCCAACTTTACTAGTTAACTGTATAAAGAACATGAAATGGTGCAAATGCTCGGGCGAAGTAGTTGATCGCCTTCTGATACATTGCAAGGTGGCCTTGGGTCTCTGGAGGATGGTCCTGAACTGCTTTGGTACACAGTGGGTAATTCCAGGTACTGTCAGAAATGTGTTGCTCAGAAGGCTGTCAGAAGTAGGATCAAAAGACATAGGGCTTGGAAGGTTGCTCCGCTAGCTCTCATGTGGGTTATATGGAAGGAAAGAAATAGGAAAGCATTCGAGGGGAATGAAAATGATCTTGTACATTTGAGGAATAGCTTTTTTTCTTTGATTGCTTTTTGGTGCATCCTTGAGATTCCAATTTGTATAGATGATCGAGTATCTTTCATAGAGAGTCATGCTTTGTTGCAGATCCTCTACTTTTTGGTATACCTCTTGTATACGGGAGTTTTTATCCCATTGATTAATAAAATTACTTACCTTATATTAAAAAAAGAACATGAAATGCATTTACAGTATCTCTGGTCTGCCACCAGAATGTGACTTAAATTAAATGTGCCACATTCCAGTCACAATCTGTCCTTAAAGAGTCAAACCTCTTTGCCCAGTGTGTTTACCTGTTTCCTTTGGACACATATCATGTTAACTAATAGTAGCAGACTTCTGTAATTCTTCTTCATAAATGGACGAGTGGAAGTTCGGTTTGCTCTTCGTGCTGCATCACAATGACTGCTCCTATGAGTTGTGTTGCTATTCAGTTATTGTGCACCAAGGCAGATTCTGCGTGTGCCTTGAGTCGAGGTCAGGCATAATGGTTTGAGCTAGTCAGGTGTATACCTCATATGTATTTTCCTCCAGTGCAAGAACAGGACGATTAAGGGGATATTTTGGTCTTAATACATATTTAGTTTTTACTAAAATGGGCACATTGGCATATGGATTAAGTTTATATGAAACAGTTAGGAAAACGACAACCTAGCTCTCATATACTTGTAGAATTCTTCTCATTTGCTGGTCTAATTGGGTATCCTATTTTCTGGGAGTAACACTTAACAAAAGAAATGTCAATCCTCAGAGGATTCTCTTATGCCTCAGGGTTTTGTCCATACCTTTCCTTGCACAGGTGGACTGATATAACTCAGAAGGGCTTGCACCACTATTTTGGTAGATTTTGTTTGAAAAGATATATTTTATAGATTTGCCTTTATGAAAGGTTTTTTCTTATGCAGTTCTTTGACTTGAATGTGCGGCTCTTCTGAGATGTAAGCTTTTCTTCAGGTATTGATGGACTAATTTGTTTGGAGTCTGATAATGAATCTGAGGATAGTGGCAAGCTTGTTTCCTGGAATGAGGAGGAGAAAGTTTGTTCCACTAAGGCAATTGTAAAGGAGACAGAATTGAGCTCCAGACCTTTTAAGTCCACAAATGGTAAGCTACTGTTTTCTAATCTGCTGGCTAAGTGACAACAGATGTCTTTGCATCTTATCGTCACTTCAATAAGAAAATAAAGAAGTAATTTTTCCATGCTGGAATTAACATTCATGGTATACAACTGAGACGAAAAACTGACGAACAGGTAATGACAATTTTATGCGAACGGCAGTTGATGTTTCTCATCGATATTTGATTGAAGCTGGTCCTTCTCTGGTGTGTTTCCCTGGTTAAAGTTTATTGTTTTTCTTTCAGTATTTGCTTTTTCTGCATAGCAATAATTTTTCATTCCCTTGTTCTTCTTAATATGAATAAAAACATCCCCCTTCTGCAGCTCCCCGCATTTTGTCCATGTGTGCCCCTCAAAATGAAAGGCCAGCTTTCAATGGGAGATTGAATTATGGTTGGACCATTCCTTGGAACGTGCATCATTCAAAGAAGATTGTAAGATTTTTGCGTGGGTAGCACGAAGGAAGAAGAGAATAAAAAGAAAAGCACATGCTCGATTAACTTTAAAGGGCTTCTGGTACTCTAACTACTAAATATATCACTGGAAATTAAGTTGATTGGACATTTGTTCAACTTTATAAGCTAATAAAGATACCCCATAATTTGCTTCAGGCCTAGGAATATTTTGGGTGTGTGTGTGTGTGGGAACCATATACTGCCTGTAAATTGGAACATGAATAAGGGAGCGAGACATAGTTGTGGATATTCAATTTCAGCTCTATTTGCTTATTGCCAGAGCGTAAACTGCTTTTCTATCGTTTCTCAAGTTAAAGTTTGGGCTCATTCTTAATTAAGAACAGATTTTACTGTTTTAACTCTAATGCGAAGTTCCTCCAAATTTCAGTCAAATTTACTTTTTATTGTGCTGTCAAATCTCATTTTGTCGGACTAAAATAAAGTTTTAATTGAATAAAATGGGATTTCAAAAATGAAAAGAGTCTGTGGAAGGAAAGAGTAGTCGGTTGACAACATCAGCAACGAGAAGGTTAGATTGAACTGGAG